TATTTTGCATATGCAATTCCAATATACTTATTTTATAACAAAAGCAGTACATTTACAAAAATGCAGGTGAATTAATATAATCATTTAGAATAATTTATTAATAATATAATATATAAATATTATAATATTAAATTAGTCATGTAATTATATAAGGACTACAACAAACAATGTGAAGATTGTATACTATACACTATAAGATTTTAAAAGGAAAAAAAGCCCTTTTGTCCCATGTGAAACAATGGTCTTGTATATCCATACTTCTAATTCTGAATCATCACAAACAATCTGTCAGCTAAAGATAAATAAAAAAACTTTAAACCAGACAAAAGCAGCAATGTTTACATAACTTTACTCAATTGTTAGTTAAGTTTCATGCCATCCAAGAATACGGTCACTTAGCAAAGCTCTACTCTGCACACACTGGAATGGCACCTTCATCAATAACCACCTCTTTTTCTTCCTCCTCAGCACATTCTCTCTCCTGCCTCAGTGACCTCTTGCGCTGCTCTTCTAGGAACAAACTGGAGTTGGCCGGGATACAGAACTCACGGAAACACCGCTTGAAGTTTTCATCCAAGAAGGCATAGAGGACAGGGTTTAAACAACTGTTAGCATAGCCCAGAGCAATGCAGAAATGCATGGCTGCCATCGAGGCCTGGCTCGTCCCAAGATCCACATGCCCCAAGGCCTGGATCAAAGCCAAGACCTGCACTGGCATCCAGCACAACACAAAAGCAGCAACCACAGACAGTACCATATAGGTGATTCTCCTCAGATTCCGGTCCTTCTCTCTAGAACCGGACAGGACACGTACACTGCGCAGGCGTCGTACCATCAACCCGTAGCAGACACTTATGATCACCACAGGAATCAAGAAAGAGAAGAGGAACACACAAATCACAAACACAGGCCACCAGTGTTCTCTTGGTTTAGGCAAGTTCAGTATGCACTCGGCACCTGCACAGAAATAAAGTCAGGGAATGAATTGATAAAGCTGATTTAAAGTAGTGCCATGATTTACAATGAATCATGAGCGGAAAGCAAAATCTCCCACAAGAGAGAATAGCGCACAAATCATTTAAAAAAAGAAAAAAAAGTT